AAATTAAAAGAAAGCTTAAAAAAATTAGTTTGCCTTGTCAGCCATTCAGATGTTGCAATCTGTAGGATATTAAACAAGTTGTGGAATTTAAATACACAGATGATAATTTTTCTTAAGTATGAAATAATAGACTAATAGTTGATTTGAACAGAAATTAGGAGACAGAAATTTCTGACTTTTATTAAAATAATTTAAAGAACATTCAAATTATATATACAAATAGAAAGTTACCAAACTATTAAATCCTAATTGGCTTTTCTAAATATTTTAAGATAAATTTTTAAACACCATCTTATATATTAACATAATTCAGTTAAAACTGTTTTGTAGTGAACTTTTTGATAGTTTAGATTACCATTATGCTAATTATTAAATTCTAATTTTCCAAATAACTACAATTTCAAGTGATTTGAAATAGAGCAGTTTCTACACAATCGTTTTCTACAATTACAAGAATACACCTCAGCATCTTCAGTTTGACAATATTTAGAGACATGGTCAGTAACTATTGTTAAGAACAAAAAAGAAACCTTTTTTTTTTTTTTTTTTAATTAGTTTGCTTTTGTTTGTTTTTCTGGAGACAGTCTCACTATGTAGTCTGGGTTGGCCTTGAACTTGGAATCCTAATATGAACATGTACCTACCACATCTGGAAGAGTCCTTCCCCCACCCCTTCCTTCTCTTTTTGACACAGTGTGCTGGATATCTTTAGTTGTCAACTTGACACACCTGGGTAGAGGGAGCTTTAGTTGGTGATTTTCCTCCATTGGACTGGCCTCCAGCCATATCTGTGGGCATCTTCTTGATTATTGAGTGATGTGGGAGGGCCCAGCCCACTGTGGGTGGTGCCACCCCTGGGCAGGCGGGCCTATGTTGTATAAGAAAGCAGGTTGAGTGGGGACCAGGAGAGCAAGCCAGTAAGCATTGTTTCTCCATGGTCTGTGCTTCAGCTCCTCCCTCCAGGCTCCTGACCTGAATTCCTACCTTGGGCTCCCTCAGTGATGAACTATGACCCCAGGGATGTAAGATAAAATAAGCCCTTTCCTCCCCAAGTTGGTATTGGTCAGAGTATTTTATCTCAGCAATGGACATAGGGTCCTTAGCTCAGTTGGTTTTGAACTCTCTGTGTAGCCAAGGATGACGCTGAACTTCTGATTCTTCTTGGGATTACAGGCCAGTGCAACCATGCCTGATTTATTTGGTGCTGGGATAAAACCCAGGTTTTCCTGCATAGTAGGCAAGAACTCCACCGACTCAAGTTACATCCTCAGCCTTTCGCAAGGTTTTAATTACCGTAACTAAAACAAGAACGATTTTAAAATGCAGGGTAATACACAATCATTCTTTGTTGTTTTAATCTAACTGTAATTAGGCTAGAAATGACACACATACTATGACATATTGAGACATCCATCAAAGCAAAGATTTAGTTAAGTTTCTACTTCCAGCAAAATCTTCAGTAATTTCAATAAGTAACAGCAATGAAATTCTACAAATATATGAATTATACACATTTCATACAACAGCAGCAGGGACTTAGGTTCAATCAATTTTTGGAGAGTAGGCATTGAGACAAGGACTCACTATGTAGACCAGGTTAGCCTCCAACTTGTCGTCCTCCTGCCTCTACCTCCCAAGTGCTGGGGTTACAAGCATGCCATCAGCATGCCTGACTAGCTCTCTTCAATGGTTGCTTATAAACTATTATTAATCTATTAATTTGATGGAACTAACATAGTCCTGAGAGAGAGACAGAGACAGACAGACAGACGAGACAGAGAGACAGAGAAAGAATTTTCTAATTTTCTGGCTCCTGGATAGATCATAAACGCCAAAATTTTGTTTTAGCATGGTTTGTGGAGTGCCTAGTGAGAGGTTAGTGCAGGACACAAATACCATGTTGATGGAGAATATGTCAGAGAGCTCAGAAACACCTGTCTTATCTAATCTATTTCATAAACATAAAAACAAAGGCATAGAAAATTACGTGCTTTAAGTACCCAGCGTACCAGGCCAGACCTAGAACCCAGCTGAGGGCAAATGTCCTTTTTGATAGTCTCTACCACTTTGAATGTCCTTTCTTTTCCTTCCCCTCCTCCTCCTCTTTCTTGTGCGTATAAATGTGTGTGCACACATGGGTATGTACGTGGAAGCCAGAGGTGGATGTTGGCTATCTTCTTCAACTGCTCTCCACCTTATTTTTGAGACAGGGTCTCTCACTGAACCTGGAGCTCACTGATATGGCTGGTTGGCAAGCCCCAGGGATTTTCCTGTCTCTTCTCCCTCTCCCTAAGTGCTGAGGTTACAGATGGGCACCTGGCTTCTTAAAAAATATTTTATTTATTATGTTTTATTTTATGCGTCTGAGTGTATTACCTGCATGCATGTATGTGCACTCATGTCATGAAAAGCCTGCGGAGATCAGGAACTCAAGGCCATCCTGAGCTACATGTGATCCTGTCTCAACAAACAAACAAACAAACAAACAAACAAACAAAAAAACTTCCAAAAGACACGCTAAAAAGGTTAGCAGTTGGGGCAAGCAGGAAGAATGACATTCAGATGTCCCCAGGATTGAAACAGAGCTCAGAAGGCAGAGGTGTCAATGAAATGTCCTTTCTAACAGAACTCTGAGAATTAACAGTCTGAACTTTTCATAGTCTATAAGGTGCACTACAAAGGAAAAGAAGGAGGGGCTTGTTTGGAAACAACATCTCCGTGTGCTGGAAAGTCTGGGGAGACCAGCAGGGCCACTGAGGAGCAGTTATATAGAGGTAGGACACAGGAGTCACTTGCCACAATGCTGCAGCATTTGGACAGCAGAGGAAAGCTTGAAGGTTGACTGCAGTCAAGACAAGACTCAAATGAGCCAGGAACTGCACAAGAACACAAGTAGCCTAAAGCTCAGCGCAAGACTGCTGGAGGCCCCAGATGCTGAAGTACAACTGTCTTCCTTGGGGCTGAGAAGTGTCAGGAAATTGGTGTAGCCCTGAGGCCAGAGGTTTGCACTTGAGTCAGAAAAGAGCTCTCGCTTGAGGGTCCTGTCCCTGTCCCCCTCCCCCAGTACTGGAGGCAGCATCCCTAGGGGTCCAGGGACAATTAAACTGACAACTTCATTCAGAAGATTATTTTTAGTGTTTGAGTGTCTTGTCTAAATGTATATAAGTACACCACTGTCGTGCAATGCCCATGGAGGACAGAAGAGGGCGTCAGATTCCCTGGACCTGGAGCTAAGGACAGTTGTTAGCTGTCATGTGGGTGCTAGGAACTGAACCCAGGTCCCCTGCAAGAGCAACCAGTGCTCCTAACTACTGAGCCATCTCTCCAGCCCCACAAGATTATTTTTAAATGATTTCATCAGAATATTATCTAAGGCTGTATGCTTTCTTCTCTCTTTACCAGTGGTAGGCAGTAATAGATTTGTTGAGGGGTTAGAGAGAGGAGACAAAAAGGAAGGATAGTTTTTGTTTTGACAGGAAAGAGAACACACAATTTTTATTATATACCTCAAACTTGGGAGTATTAGATTCTTTTTTTGTCTCCTTGTAGCTCCAACTGTCCTGGAACTTGCTATGTAGACCAGGCTGGCCTTGAACTCACAAAGATCCACCTGCCTCTGTCTCCCAAGTGCTGGGATTAAAGGCATGTGTCACTATGGCCAGCTGAGATTCTTGAATTAATTCTTAAATGAAAACAAAAATAAAAGAAAGATGGTCATGCTGTGAACTCTTGCCCCAAGCTCCATTGTTGTTATAAGGACAGTTGAAAGAATAATGGGGCCACGGATTGCCTTCCTGCATGTGCATGTGTGCATTATATTAAACATACATGTGCACGTGTAATATACATCTATTTGAATATTTAGGAGACCTGGAGCAACATCAGTAGTTTGTTAATAAGAAGGCCTAAATGAAAAAACAAACCCCACTGGAAACTTTTAAAAGAAATCTCCCAGTGAAACTGCCTTTCATCTCTTATTTTCTTTGCATCTGTGGTATTAAAAAAGCAAACCAGAGTTATTGACACTTGTAACTCTGAATGGCACATTCTCCACAAGATGAAAATAAGAAGACCTGGACAGCTTATAGTCACCCTAACGATGGTAAGTGGCTGAATAAGTCCACTTTTAAAATTTTTATTTTTATTTTATGTGTATGAGTATTTTACTCACACGTATGTAAGTGCACCTGTGTCATGCTATGCCTGCAGAGGCCAGAAGAGGGCAATGGATCACCTGGAACTGGAGTTAAGAACAGATATTAGCTACCATATGGGTGCTGGAAACTGAACCCAGGTCCTCTGCAAGAGCAGCCAGTGCTCTTAACCCCTGAGCCATCTCTCCATCCCCATAAGTCCACTTTTAAAAAGTCCTTTATGAGCAAGAAATTATTGTTTTAAATGTTGTAAATCCTTAGGAAATAGATGCTCCAAATAATGGAGAGAGTGAGATTTTCTGGCAATTTGAGTACCATATTTATAATCCCAATAGTTAGAGCTGAACATAGAATATTACTGTTTCCCTATTGATGTCAGACACTAATTTCTAGAATATGTATTTGGTAAATCCGACAATGTTCAGGTAACTGTACTAGCCTAGCAGAGAAGAGTTGATAAAACTTTTTACCCCCAATTTTTGCTTTCATTTTTATTTTGTTTATTTTTTTGTCTTTTTGAGACAGGGTCTCCCTGTAGCCCCAGCTGTCCTGGAACTCACTATGTAGACCAGGGTGGCCTTGAACTCACAGAGATCTGCCTGCCTCTGCCTCCTGAGTGCTGGGATTAAAGGCATGGGCCACAATGACTAGCTTTGCTTTAATTTTTAATTATGTGTATGCATGTGTGTCTGTGTGGGGTATGTGCATATGAGTGCAGTTGCACAAGGAAACCAGAAGAGGGTGTCAGATCCCTTGGAGCTGGGGTTATAAGCAGTTGTGAACCATCTGACATGGGTGCTGGGAACCAAACTCAGGTCCTCTGCAAGAGCAATAAATGCTCTTAAACTACTGAACCATCTTTCCTGTGTGCCCACCCTGCTTTTATGAGACAGAGTCTCAATAGCCCAGGCTGGCCTTAAACTTGCTATGTAGCCAATGATAACCTTGAACCTCTAATTCTGCCTCTAACTCCCAGGTGCTGGAATTACAGGCATATGCCACCACACTAAGCTAATAAATTCCTCTTAGATGTTACTGGTGGGAATGTCACAGTTTGGGGTCTTTTACAGTGACAGCTGGCTCTGTGTTATTATTTACATGCAAGTTTTGTTTTCGAATTCAAAGTTCTTTCAACTATTCTGTTTCATTTTTAGATGTTTAGGATAATAGTCATCTTACTAAAAAAAAGTCATCTTACTACGATGCTTCAGAATCACACACACACACACACACACACACACACACAGAGAGAGAGAGAGAGAGAGAGAGAGAGAGAGAGAGAGAGAGAGATTAACTGAAAGATAATCATCCTTTAAGACTTAACAAGCTCTGCCTGATCACAGGGTACTCAGTAGTTTACGGCCATACAAGTTCATGGATGTCAATGCTTGGGAAAAAGTGCTGGCTGCTGGCAGTGATCTGTTCCCACATCACTCCCAGGTCAATCAGTTTAGATACTGAGATAATTTAGCCAGGAGAAAGGGGTAAGAAATTATGATGTACCAGGTCAGAGAGATGGCCCTGTGCAAGCCTGACAATCTGAGTTCAATTCCCCAAACACTTGTTTAAAAAAAACCTGGTTGCAGTGGTGGACATCAATAATCCCAGTAGTCCTATGGCAAGATGGGAGCTGAGACAGGAGAATCAGTGTGAAGTTTGGAAGCTCATGGGTCAGCTGCCTTGGAATACATAGAATGAGAGAAACTCTGCCTCAACAATGTAGAAAAAGAGAACCAACTCCCCAAAAGTTGTCCTGTCTCTGTGTTTGTCTGTCTGTCTTCTCTCTCTCTCTTATGAATACACACACATTAATTTTAAAATTAAAATTCAATGCTATATCAAGGACAACATTCGAGTGGGCAGCCAGCCAGTGATTCAAAGGTACTATTGTCACACAGTGGGTGATGGCTTGTCGTGTGTCCACTGCAGGCCATGAATGGAATTTTCTCCAGCTAGCTTCAGAAGTTGAAGCACCAATGTTCTTGTGAGACAGTGAGAGGAGAGTCTGCCCCGAGTTGAGAGGTAAGTGAGCCTAGACAACCTTTAAAGCTTCCCTTGCTATACAATATGAGAATGCAGAATGAAGCAGGAGCGCTCCTCAGCAGACCTGGTTATGCTGAGCACTCAGAAGCCAGTGTGCGTGTAATGCCATCCCTATGCAAACAGCAGCCAGCAGAGCTGATGCTGCTCAGAGAGGCATTATGTGGTCAGCTGAAGTGGGATGCTATATGGAAATCTTGTTCATAAATCAGTGTAAACCACAGAGTCTCAGTATCAACTGCCTAAGGAGGCACTGCTCTGATGAAATGGAAAATGTCTCCTCCACAGGCACATTTAAACATTTAAAGAGAATGTTGTAGGAGATAAAGTTGGCATGGGAAAAGCACAGGGGAAGGAATCAGGGATGATGAGAACAAAACAGTTCTAGAAGGCGTCTTCATTTTCATATTGCTCATTTGCATTTGAAGCTCCAAGGATTCCTATCTTGAACAAAAATATGTACATATTAAATGACTTCACTTGAAAGAATGTTTTTCCTAAATGCTTGGAAGATGATCAAATTTTAACTGGAGGGCTTGCTTTCTTCCATCAGGTGTGGAGGAGGTGTGGCTTCCAGGTATGAGAGGCAACAGTTGATTCTAACAGCAGAACAAGACAAAAATAAGAAAGTACATTGAAAACAATCCCTATAGTACCAATTGAGTTAAAAGTGTTCAAACAAAACAAAATAAAGACAAAGATGTCAAAAGACAGCAATTTAAAAATTATGCTTGTTTACTTTTCCAAAAATTATATTCCTCTGGTATTTGAAAATTTGGTTCTGAGTTATTCCAGAATTTTCATGGATTTTTCTATCACTTATTTCAGTACAATATTTCTAAATATGTAGTCAGTGTTTAAAAGATTTCCATCAGTTATTCAACAAAAATTCCAAGAGGCAACATCCTGACCATGTTACATTTTAAAAAGTGAGGCTTTTCCCTATACCTGTAGACATGTCTTAAGATAGTTGTTGCTTACCAGGCAGAAAGCTAGAATCCAGGTGAAGATAGACATTTGAACTCACAAAGTAAAGTAACAGGAGTGATATTGTATAACTTCTTTTCTTTTTAAGACAGAAAATAATACAGTATATGTGAGAGGCAAATATGATGATGGCCTTAGAAGGAAGGCTTCCTTCAAAATCCAGATTGGTGCTTCATTAAGAGTGAGAATAAGGGTGTCAGGATGGAGAGTTGGTCTAAGGCACCAGAATGAGAGAGACAGGGAGAGCTGCCCTGAGAGGGATGGCAAAGCCATCAAGAAGAATCCCCGGAGTAATTCCAGGAACAAAGGGGAAATGAGACTATAAGCTTTTAGGGGATGGTAGGAGATTATGGGAAATTTTACACCTTGTGATTTCGTTCAACACTGTGTACATGATCAAGAGCATGGAAAAACCAGGTGTAAGTCAAGACCATAAATTAGGAGCTATAAAAACAGCAGCACAGAACAACTTAACTCTCCCAGGGAACTTCAGGGAGGGCCTGATGTTTTCAGGCTGTGGGATCTGACTGCCCAAGAGAGCACTGTCTTCAAGGGGCAGGTCTGTGTTCTAACACTTGTGTCTTCAATATGTTTTAATTTCCCATTTTTGGGGGGGAGGGGGTGGAACGGTCCTTTTGTGGGGGACTCTTTCCCTTAAGAGAAGAGAGAATGAGTACTGAGTGCAAGACCTCAATTGCAAGTCAAGTGCTCTACCACTAAGTAAAAGCTATGAATCTTTTGCTTGCCTGTCTGAGACAAGGTCTTGCTAAGCTGACCACAATGGCCTTGAACTTGTGTCAATCTTCCTGCCTCTGCCTCAGGAATGTTGGTATTACAGGTATATACAACCATGGCCAGATATTCCCTTCCTTCCTTCTTTCCTTCCTTCCTTCTTTCCTTCCTTCCTTCCTTCCTTCCTTCCTTCCTTCCTTCCTTCCTCCCTCCCTCCCTCCCTCCCCCCCTTATTACCAAATCCAATGCTTCAATTAATTGACCCTCATTAAGTTTTATTAATGAAATCATTCAAAATTCAAAAGGGAAAAAGAAAAAAAAAAACCTATCCTCAGAACCACGAGTCTTTGTTTTTCTTGTTCTATGCAACTTCCCTGTAGCAGTGATCCTTTTCTCTGTTCACTGCCTCCTGCTAAAACCTCTCACTTATTTGACCTCCCTCCCTCCCTCCCTCCCTCAGTCCCTCCCTCCTTCCCTCCGTTCCTTCTAATTGGCTCTCAGAAGCCCAGGCTGGCTTCGAACTCCCTGTATAGCCAAGAATAACCTTGAATTTCTGGTCCTCTTGCCTCATTCTCCCAAGTGCTGTAATTACAAGCATAAACCATCATGCCTAGTTTATGTAGTGCTGGGGATCCAATCCAGGGCTTCTTACCTGCTAGGCAAGCACTCTATCAACTGAGCTACATCCCAGCTCAGATTCTTCTGATATGGTAAACTCTGTAGGAACATGCTCAGAGAGATCAGGTCTTGAAAGGCATCCTTATTCTCTTGGCATTCCCCTTTGAGGACTTCCTTGGTAGACAGTGGGCTAAGTAATATATCATGGTGGGTACCACACAGGTCCCACCACGTATGGGTAGCGAGGATACAGTTTACTGAGGGAGTCCTCTAACACTGAACATGTAATCTTGGTAAAAAGAGAATACCTAATGCCTGCTGTTGTCAGTTGCACAATGTGGGTGCTGGGAACTGAACCAAGATCCTCTACATGTACTGCAAATGCTCTTAAGTGCTGAGTCATCTCTCCAGCTCCTCAGCCCATTTTAAGAAAGGACTTGCTTGCTAGGCAAGTGCTCTATCACTGAGCTACATCTCAACCCTGGTTTCATCTCTTTTTATCTGACAGAGTTCATCTTCATCCTCAAGGAAAGACCTAGAAAAGGCTGTTTTGGCTGCCTGTATGGTGAAAAATGAAGGAGTCAGGCTTTCTTCACTGAGTAGCTATAGGCTACAGAAAAGGGTGGGATTCTTTTATAATGGTAACAAAGTTTAGTCCCATCGTGATCAAGGTTTTACTGCACCCTTGTTAGGTTTTGGGAACACAGTCTGGTGGAGCAAAAAAAGAAAAAGAGCAAGCTGGGCGTGGTGGTGCACACCTGTAGTCCCAGCACTCGGGAGGCAGAGGCAGGTGGATCTCTGTGAGATCGAGGCCAGCCTGGTCTATATAGTGAGTTCCAGGTCAGCTGAAGCTGCAGGGAGACCGTCTCAAAAAAAAAAAAAAAAAAAAAAAAAAAAGACACACACACACACACAATGTGCAATATTTGATTCATGTGAAGCTGAGTGTGATGTTGTTCCTCTGTAGTTCCAGCTACTTGGGAGGCTAGAGCAGGAGGGTCTTTTGAGACCAAGAGTTGGAGACCAACTTGGGAAACATGAGAACCCCAATTAAAGAAAAAATATTAGAATAAGATTTTGCAACAACCTAAGTATTTCCATTGTATATTTTTTTTACAGGGCTTACTAATATTTACTGAGCTAAATGCAACTAAGTCAGAACAACTTAGTGTTGGCAAAAGTATTGGTGTTCACCTCGCTTCACTTTGCAAACTAGAAAATGGAAAAAAGAATACTTCTCATCCTGCTTCAACTTTTGAGCTGAGGTACCTGCTGATGCCTTCTGCTTCTTCCCTCATTTCGTGCTTTTCTTTTCATTTGATCTTCTTGAAAAGAGTCAAAGTAGGCACTCTCCAGGAGCTGGGCACAGGTCAATCTGTCATCTGGGTTCATCTTCAGACACCCCTTTGGAAGAGGAGGAAAGGCAAAAAAGATTTAAAACATGGGCTTATTTGGAGACTGTGTATCTCAAACTCTGAAGAACTTTGTGGAGTAAACATAAGTTTAAGAAGTCAAGCATCAGGGCTGGAGAGATGGCTCAGCGGTTAAGAGCACTGGCTGCTCTTGCAGAGGACCTAGGTTTGATTCCCAGCACCCACATGGCAGGTAACAACCATCTGTAACTCTATTTCCAAGGGATCCAATGCTCTTTTCTGACATCCGTGGGCATTGCACAACATGGTGCACTTACATACATGTAGGTAATACACTCATACAAATAAAATAGAAAATAATAAATAAAAATATTTTTATTTATTTATAATTTTTTATTTTTTTAGTATCAACGTACAGGAGCATTTTTTGCCATTTTATTTTGTTTTATTTTTTTGAGGGTTTCTGATAATGCTACATTCTGAACATGCAAAAGGTACAAAATGTTTTCCAGAACATTTCAAAGGATGGTGCCACCTTCACATACTGTTACGTAGGTCATTTTGTCTCTAATTAAAGTAAGACACCATATGTTCATAGTTTGGCCTGTACTGAAACAGGGTGGGGGGGGGTCCCTTAGGGGATTCTTAATCTCATTCATTGAAGAATGAGCTGGGCATGGTGGCACACGCTTATAGTCCCAGCACTTGGGAGGCAGAGGCAGGCGGATCTCTGTGAGTTTGAGGCTGGCCTGGTATACATAGTAAGTTCCAGGCCAGCTGGGGCTACAGGGAGACCCTGTTTCAAAAAAACAAACAAACAAACAAAAAAACAAAAAAGAATTGAAGAATGGACCCAAATGGCAGAAAACAGACAGACTTACAGGGACCTACATGACTGTAGGGGGTCAGAATTTAAGCTCTTGTCAAGAAATTCCAGTGGACTCTGATATGAACATTTGAAATTTGGTCTGCTCTGACTTTTTTCTGGTTTCCTGTCTATAACTTGTAATGCTAACTAGTCTTGCCTTTACTTCTCCTTCACATCTCCTAGGAACCAGTCAAGGACTTTTCTTTTCTCCCTACAATTAAGAGTTATGCAATTTGGGAGTCTTTTAGATAGACCTACTGAAGGGGTACCCCAATTGCCTCACCCTGCATCCCTGTTCAGCATGGAAGAAGCCAGAGTGGTCTGTGTCCCAATTCCCTATTGGCAATTTGGGTAACCTCTTCAGAGGTTGGTGTGATAGAATAGGAGGTAGGAACTGGCTAGGCAGCTAGGGTAAAAAGACCCTAAAGAAAAGTAGCCAGTTTCTTGGCTAAAAGTAAAAATGTCGTTGGGCCTCTTAGCAACATACTCTATTCCAAAGGCCAAAAATGTCAAAAGTATTTGGGAGTTCTTATCTAATCCTTAAAAGATTTTAGGATTACCTCTTCAGGGGGGGGGACTGACTGTTAGAGTAGCAAAAAGCCCTGTAAATTCAACAGGTCAAGATTATTAAATCCCTAGTCTATCTGTTGGAGGACCCACCTTTCCAATCTCACTGGTCAATCACCTGGTGATAGAACCACCCCTAGGAAGGCAAGTTCACCTTAAGTTATGCTAAATAGATGGGTGGAATACCTGGTGCATTAATGAAAAAAAAATATTTTTAAAAAGAAGTCAAGCATCCGGCTGGGAGTATAGTTAGTAGGGTTCTTGGCTAGCACTCATGAGGCTCTGGGTTTGATCCCCAGAACCATATAAACAGGGCATCTGTAATCTCAGCACTCAGGAGGTGGAGGCCCAAAGACCAGGAGTTCAAGGTCATCCTTGGTTACATAACAAGTTCGAGGCCATCCTGTACCACATGAACCTGTCTCCAAAAAAAAAAAAAAAAACCTTCAACTTTATTTTTAAGTTCTTGGAACTATCTTTGTTTTATTTTGTTTTGTTTTGAGACAGGGTTTCCTGTAGTTCAAGTTGGCTTTGACCTTGCTATGTAGCCAATGATGACCTTAAACTCCTGATCCTTTTGTTTCTACTTCCCAAGTGTTGGGAGATGGGGCTCCTGAGTCCTCTCCTGCCTGAATTAACACTTTCTCTATGTTATGAAGTGGATGAGTCCATAGAGGTGCTCCCTGATAGATGTGCTCCTAGCTTGGTAAAAGATCTGAATACCAGATATGATGCCATACCAAATGTGTGGAGGTCAGAGGACAACTTTCTTGAGTCAGTTCTTTCTTTCCACCTTTATGTAGGTTCCAGGGATTGAATTCCATTTATCAGGCTTGCATCATCAAGTGGAAAGTGTCTTTACCTGCTGAGCCATCTGGACAGACTCTCTTTTATTTATTTATTTATTTATTTATTTATTTATTATTTAATTTTTATCCTTTACAACAAATTTATTGAGAATTTCATACATGCATATAAGGTGTTTTGATCAAATCCATGCCCACTCCAACTCACAGAGATCCGCCTGCCTCGGCCTCCCAAGTGCTGGGATTAAACGCGTGCACCACCACACCCGGCTACTCTTTTATTTTTTAATTACTACATTACTCTATGTGCGTGTGTGTGTGTGTGTGTGTGTGTGTGTGTGTGTGTGTTGCCCAGTTTGGGTATGGAGGTCAGAATACAACTTGCAAGAATCAGTTCTTTTCTTCCTCTATGAGGGTCCTGGAGCTGGAACTCATATCATCAGGCTTGGTAGCAAGAGCCTTTACCAGCTGAACCATCTCACTGGTCCCTCCTTTTCTTAAAAAAGAAAAAAATCGGGGTTGGAGCGGTGGCTCAGTGGCTAAAGGCACTGACTGCTCTTGCAGAGGACCCAGGTTTGATTCCCAGCACCCACATGGCGGCTACGAACGGTCCTTAACTCCAGTTCCAGGGGAATCTGACGCCCTCTTCTGACCTCCGCAGTATTGCACAACACGGGTGCACTCACATACATGCAGGCAATACACTCATACACATAAAAATAAAAATAATAAATAAAATATTTAAAGAAAAAGATCAGATCTTTTTCCAAGTTTGCAGAAAGTCCTCTAATAAAATTTCTAAGTCTACAGTCCTTTTCTTGATGGCCAGTGTATTGAGTTAGTGTGTGTGTGTGTGTGTGTGTGTGTGTGTGTGTGTGTATGTGCTCAGATGCACATGTGCCACAGCACATATATGGAGGTCAGAGTACAACTCTCAGGAGTTGCTCTCACTTGTCTGGATACTTAGAACCAGTAGTAAGTCTACATACCCCTTTCCAAGAATGTCTAAGTAGCCACAACCTAAACAACCCATATTCTCTTAAGTTTTGATACAATAGGGGTAAGATAGTACTCAGCTGCCCAGAGTTGGATCTAAGAGACATTTGGGGTTAGGGAGACAACTCTGTGGGTAAAAAGACCCCTGCCTCACAAGTCTGATGATCTGAGTTTAATTCCCTGTGCACACGTGGAGGTCAGAGAATAATTTCCAGAAATTTGTTCTCTCTTTCCATCATGTGAGTCCCAGGGATCAAAGTGAGGTGATCAGGCTTAGTGGCAGGCACTTTTACCCACAGAGCCATCTCACCAGCCCCCATCTCTTATCATTTTTAATTGCTACTACCTACTACTTTGGCACTATGTTCCCTATTGTCTACCCTCCTTCCCCTGCCAAATCAGCTTCAATAATTATAATTCATAGTCAATAATAGTTATAATTGATTCCCACATACCTTCATGAAACTTAAAGCCATAGGCTGAGCATTTGAGAATTTTTCTTCGAGAGTTTCCTGGAAAACAGAGTAAAGAATTTTAGGGGTTGGAATGATAGCTCAGCAGTCAGAGCACTGGTTGCTCTTGTAGACAACCTGGCTTCCATTCCTAGCACCCACATGGCAGCCAACAACCATCTGTGACTCCAGTTCTAGGGGATCCAATGTCATGTTCTGGCCTCTGCAGGCACTGTATTCACATGCGCGGTTACACACATGCAAGCAAAGTACTCATATATAAAAATAAAAATAAATTTAAAAATAAAAAAGGATTTCAGTATTACATAACAAAGTAACATATATACTTTATGTATATATGTATGTATGGGTGTGTATGTATATGTATGTAGTCCTAGGGAATTGTATCTATGGCCTATGTATGCTAAGCAAACATTGTACTACTGACCTATATCTCCAGCCCTCAAAGTAATCTATGAACATTTATTCAACAATAATAAGGGTATTTGGAGAAACACCCCTTAGTATGTTTGATGACTCTTCAGGTTTTATTTCAGCATTTTTTAAACATAATTTTATTTCATAGTATGACGGTCCAAGAGACAGAAAGTAGGAGGTTTTTAAAATTTTTTAGTTTTGCAATGACCTACCATTGCTGCTAGTAATTCTGGGAGGGAAGGGAACAGGAAAGCTTTAAATATGAACCTGGAAAATGTCCCCATCTGAAATCCTACCACAGAGCTAGAATATTGGAACATGACATCTTAATGAGGGTGTTTTGAGCATTCTTGAAAATGTACTGACTTAGATGTAGAAAAATGCTACAGAAATCAACAGAAGGTTAAAATTTCAGAGCACCAGAAAAGGGAAAAATGGGGAAATCTCAAAGGTAACAGTAATGTTTTACTTTTAAACTTTATTTTATTTATTTTATGAGATGGGTCTCCCTGTAGCCCCAGCTGGCCTGGAATTCATTACATAGAACAGGCTGGCCTCAATCTCACATAGATCCACCTGCCTCTGCCTCCCAGTGCTGGGATTAAAGGTGTGCGCCACCATGCCCGGCTTCGTTTGTAACTTTTATTTCCATTTTTCAAGAGTGTGTATATGTGGTATGAATGTGTGTATGCATGTTTTTGCATGTGCCTTGGTGTATGTGTGTGAGGGGTGCATGTGCACATGCATGCATATGTGGACAAGGCTGATGTCTGGATGATATTTTCTCACTCTTCCACTTTATTCATTGAACAGGGTCTCAATCAAACCCAGAGCACACTGGTGTGGCCAGTCTTGCTAGCCCACTTTCTTTGGGAATCACTGGTCTCTGCTTTCAGAGGCTGGAATGACAGGTGGGTCATCATGACCACTCAGCATGCATGTGAGTTTCCGGGGATCCAAAATCAAGTTCTGACACCCAAGTGTAGTAAGCACTTTAACCACCGAGCCATCTTCCTGGCCTTCTTTTGTAACTTCTAACTTTGTAAGTCAACCTTTAACCTTATATTATATTTATAAAAGTCTTCACAAAATACAGTAAAAAAAGACGTGTGTAAATCAAAAGATTACATGAAATGATAGATTAAATGAACACGGTCTATAGAGACTGTTCTCGCATCATCATGCTTCCTTGGATTGCCCTTCCCCACCCTGCCCTGGCTATAGCATGGTGTCATTGGACCATCCCTCTTTTGAAGGTTATTTCCTTTCCTCCACATGGCAGACTGGCAGATCATGTGGAAGTGTTTTGTTCTTATTGCCTTGAGACAGGATCTCTCTATATATCCCCTGGCTGGCCTGGAACTTACTATGTAGACCAGGCTGGCCTCAAACTCATGGCACTCCTCCTGTCTGTAGCCTCCCTAATGCTGGGATTACAGGCATGGGCCACAATACCCTACTCCATATGGAGTTCTGGAGGTCATACCCTGAGCTTAGGTGACCTGACAAGAAACAGCGTGTACATAGGATAAAGAATCATGGATAAACAAAGACCGGAGCGGGAGCAGATATGGCCACTGATCACCAACAGTTCCTACAGTGAGGATCACTTCATAACATGGCCTTCCATGAGAAAATGGAGATTATGATAAAAAGTTCTGGGGGGCACAGAGTCTCCTATGTACTTCAGGCTGGTCTTGAACTCACAATTCTATGATCCTATGCCTCTGCTTCCTAAGTAACTAGGATTATAGATATACCGAGCCTGGCTTGAAAAAAAGTTTGGTTTTTTTAAAAAAAGTTGATTTCAGCTTTATTTTGTGACCTGGAAAAATTAAAAGAGTACACATCTTCAAAATAAAGAAAACAACTTTCTTTTTTTAAAATTTTATTTATTATTTTTATTTTATGTGTTTGCATGTACTGTCTGCATTTAGGTAAGCGGTTAGAAATACTGTTTATGAGAAAATATTTTGGGGGAAATATCAAGGTGTTGTGTAAGATACAACATGCTTTAAATTTAAATTTAACATTAACTGTGGAAGAGATAGGATAATTATTTTTTGGTCTTTTTTGAGACAGGGTCTCCCAGTAGCCCCCGCAGGCCTGGAACTCACTATGTAGACCAGGCTGGCCTTGAACTCACAGAGATCTGCCTGCCTCCGCCTCCTGAGTGCTGGGATTAAAGGTGTGCGCCACCATGCCCGGCAGGATAAATTAATTTTTAAAGCAATTTCCTGGGGCAGCTTTATAAATTACTTTTAAAAATGTGTGTGTGTGTGTGTGTGTGTGTGTGTGTGTGTGTGTATACATGTGGGCAGGTGTGTGCAACTGTCTGAGTGTATGTGGAGGCTGGAGGCAGACATCGGGTTCTCTCCTCCATCACTCTTCACCTTATTTCCTTGAGATAGGGTCTCTCACTGAACCTGGAGTTCACTGTTTTCCAGCTAGACTGGCAGCTAGCTAGCCCCAGTGGTCCTCCTGTCTCCACGTCTCCCCACCCCCCATTCCCACGGCTGGGGCTACAGGGGTGCAAAGCCATGCCCAGCTTTTTACATGGGGGCTGATAATCCAAACTAAGTCCTCATGCCTCTTGTAGCAAGCACTCTCACCCACTGAGCCATCCCCTCAGTCCCTATTTCAGATCTTTGAGACACAGTCTCACTACACAGCTATGGCTGGGCAAGAATTTGCTATATATAGTCCATGCTGGCCTCAAGCTTGTGTTAATTTGCCTCCCGAGTGATGAGATTATATCCATGCCACCACACCTGACTCTTGTTATGAATAATTTTTGAGATGGGATTTCACATATTTCCCAGGCTGGCCTTGGACGCCTGTGCTCAAGTGATCCAGAGTCTCAAACAGTTGGGAATACTGTTGTGCTCCACTGCACATGGCTTATACATTCATGATTGACTTCTATTTTGCATCAGTACTTCATAGAGAAAACAGAAGCCAAAAGCACTAATGTGAATCAACCACCTCTTTTTTAAAAAATATTTTATTATTATTTTTTTATGTGTATGAGTGTATTGCCTGCATGTATGTGAGTGCACCCGTATCGTGCAATGCCGCAGAGGTAGAAGAGGGCTTTGGATTCCCCTGGAACTGGAGTTAAGGACAGTTTGTCGCCACCATGTGGGTGGTGGGAATTGAACCCGGGTCCTCTGCAAGAGCAATCAATGCTCTCAACTGCTGAACCATCTCTCTAGGCCCTCAACCACCTCTTTTTTTTTTTGTCTTTTTGAGACAGGGTCTTCCTGTAGGTCCAGCTGTCCCAGAACTCACTATGTAGACCAGGTTGGCCTCAAACTCACAAAGATCTGCCTGCCTCTGCCTCTCAAGTGCTGGGATTAAAGGTGTGTGCCACCACACCCGGCAAACCTCTTTTTTAAAAAAAAATTTGTGCCGGGCGCGGTGCCACACGTCTTGAGGCAGCCGGATCACTTTGAGTTCAAGGCCAGCCTGGTCTACATAGTGAGTTCCAAGACAGCTGGGGCTACAGGGAGACCCTGTCTCAAAAAGATTTTTTTTAATTAATTTATTTGTAATTTATGTGTATGAGTGCTTTGCCTGCATGTAAGTACACTCATGTTGTGCAATGCCTGTGGAGGTCAGAAGAGGATGTTGAACCCCCTGGAACTATAAGCTGCCATGTGGGGGGCAAGGACCTGAACCCAGGTCCTCTGCAAGCTAAGCCATCTCTCCAGCCCCCAACTACCTCTTTATAGAAAGAAGCAATACAAATAATAAATTATCCTACATAGAGCCCTTTACCATGTCTTCTGGTTCAGGGATGCTGATGCCACGGAAAAACTGGTTACTTTTAAAGATAGATTGATGTCTTGGGATTAGTTTTCCTGTAAAATACAAACCACATAGCTCAAGATAACTTGGGTTAAAAAATCCATAAAGTGTATCATAAAATCTCCCAAGATCCAGATATGAAGGAAACATTGCACCTGGTGTTCCCTCTAGACACCGAGCAGTGTGAGCCTGTGCAAAGGTCCCTGTGCTCAGCTCCACTTTCCACATAGTTCTCCTTGCCAAAGTGATGTGGTCTGCCATTCAGCTTTCGTCTAAGATGAAGTGAGGAAGTGCTGCTGGGCCGCTGGGTGCTTCACACACATTATCTCACTTATGCCCCTCACAAGCTCACAACTGCTATCTTCCTTTCTTCCTCTCTCCTTTCTTCCTTCCTTCTTTCTTTCCGTTCTCTCTCCTTCCTTCCTCCCTCTCTTCTCCCCCCCCTCATTTTTTTTTCTTTTTATTTTGTGAGACAAGGTCTCATTTAGTCCATGTTCACCTCAAACTCACTATGCAACCAAGGAACCTTGAATTTCTGACCCTTCTGCCACTACCTCCCAAGTTTTGAGGTTACAGTGTGGGCCACCATGCCTGGTTCATGTAATTGTGGGGACAGATCACCAGGGCTTCATGCATGCTCAGAAGCATTCTACCAACTGAGCTATATAAACAGCCTCAGAATTACTCTCTCTCTCTCTCTCTCTCTCTCTCTCTCTCTCTCACTCACACACACACACACACACATATATATGTATATATGTTTTTGTTGTTTTGTTTTGTTTTGTTTGAGGCAGGGTCTCTCTGTAGCCCTAACTGGCCTTGACTTGCTATATAGACCAGGCTGGCCTATCTCTCACAGAGATATGCCCCTTTCTGTCCTCCCAAGCCAGGATTAAAGGCATGCACCACTGTGTCCAACATAGATTTATTTTATTTTTAGTTATGTGTATTTGTGTGTGTATGTGTCCACAAAAATATATATGTGCATGTGATTGAGTACACGTGTTCATGGAGGTCAGAAGAGGGCAGAGGATCCCCTGGTGCTGGAGTTATGGGTGTTTGTAAGCCACCTGATGTAGGTACTAGGATCCAAACTCAGGTCCTTTTCAAACACTCTTACCCCTTGAACTATCTCTCCGGTCTCCTATCTGGCCTTTCATGAAAAAATGCTGACTGTGCACAGAAATTGCATGTAGACAAATGCCTCTTATTTATTTCTTTATTTATTCATTTACTGTGTGTGTGTGTGTGTGTGTGTATGTGTATGTGTACACATGTGCCACAGCACATATATGGAAGTCAGAGGACAACTCTCAGGAGTCTCTCTCACTTGTCATGGTAGGAGTGCTGGGATTACAGATATGTGCCACTACACCCAGCTTTTTAATATGGTCCTGGAGAATCGAACTCAGATTGTCAGACCTGTGAAGCAGGGGCTTTTTACCCACTGAGTCATCTCCCCAGCCCCAAATGTCTCTTAGATCCAACTCTGGGCAGCTGCATCCTATCTTATCCCTATTGTATCGAGGCTTGAGGGCACATGGGTTGTTTTGGTTGTGGCTACTTGGACTTTCTTGGAAAGGCATATGTAGACTTACTACTGGTTCTACATATCCAGACAAGGATTGGGCTTCAGCTACAACCTAGAACCCAGAGCCACCTTCCTGAACATGCCTTAAAGAAGCAATAGACTTCTTGCTTTCATTATGGTACCATACATGTGCTATAAAACCCTTAAGTGACTCTGTGAACACAAAAATGCAACTCATACCCAGTGTTCTGATTATCAGATAAAGCTGGTCCACATCTGATTTTCCTGGCCAGAGTGGTTGACCAGTCAGGAGCTCTGTGAAAACACAGCCAACGGCCCACACATCCACAGAGGAGCCATACTTCGTGTCTCCCACAAGAAGTTCAGGGGCTCTGTACCATCTGGTGGCAACATAGTCAGTGTAGGCATCTCCTGGAACTGGAAAGGAAAACATCAGGCAGATCAGGTGAAGTCATCATCTCTAGGCCCAAGAACCTGTGACCTACTCCCTGGAGTAGCTGGGACAGTAGCTCAGATAGCCAGCTTCTGTGACTCTCAGAGGTCGGGAGCCTGTTGACCTAATTAATAAGACATTCACTGAACAATGGCTCCATTCAGCACTGAGAGAAAATTCAGAGTTCAGGAGCACCCTAGTTAGCGAATGCCAAAAACACCCCAAATGGTGGGTTTGAGAATTCCTGTACTGCAACTTCAAATCTAAATACCCTGATATGTTACCATGTTATCAAGCATGGTGCTTGTGGTTGGCTAAGCTGTGTCTTCGCCTCCAAAAACAATAGGTTTGAAGTCCTAGTTTCTGCTCTCGTGAATGTGATCTTGTTTGGAGTTAGGATCTTTGCAGATGTTATTGTGTTACAATGAGGCCATCCTAGATTAAGGTGGGCTCTGAATTAAGGGACTAGTGTTTATTTGTGTGTGCATGTATGTGTGTACAGGTGCACTTGTGTGCATATGTGCAAGTGTATATGGAGGCCAGAAGTCAGCTTTGATGCTCTACTTATTTTTGTTTTAAAATTTTCTGGCTTACTTATTTTTTTTTAAAATTTTATGTGTGTGAGTGTTTTGCCTGTATGTGTGTAAGTGCACCCATGTCATGCAATGCCCACAGAGGACAGAAGAGGGTGTTGGATCCACTGTAACTGGAGTTATATATGGTTATTAGCTGCCATGTGAACTGAACCCAGGTTCTCTGCAAGAGCAGCTCTTAACCACTGAGCCATACTCCAGTTCTTTTTTTTTATTGTTTGTTTGTTTTTTGTTTTTTGGGGCAGGATCTCATATATCCCAGGCTGGCCTTGAATTCCTGATCCTCCTGCCTCCACCTCCCAAGAGCTAGGATTTAGAGGTGTGAACCACCATACCTGGTCTATGCAGTGCCTCAAGCATGCTAGGTGAGCACTTTACCATCTGAGCCACATCCCAGCCTCTATTTTATTTTTTGAAACATGTCTCCCACCCAAAATTTGCCAATTTGGCTAGGCTGGCTGGCCAGTGAGCCTCATGGATCTGCCTGTCTCTGTCTCCCCAGCACTGAGATCACAAATAAGTACATTCCGTCATGCCCTCAGTTTTTAAAATATGGGTCTAGGGATCGAACTCAGGTCCTTATGATGACATTTTACCAACTGAGCCATCTCCAAGCCCTACAACTGGTGTTTTCACAAAGTAGCCCCCAGGGACATAGAGACAGACATGGAGAGCACCACGTGTGTTGGAGCAGATACTGAGGGCCAGACAAGGAATAGCACAGCCTGAGGGTGCTGGAAGAATCCTCCTCTGGAGCCACCAGAGGCAGCATGGCTCTGTTGCTACCTCGAGTTTAAGGCCTCCAGGGGGAGAGGGCACATTCTGCTGCTTTAAAAATATTTTGCTTATTATTTTTTATTTTATGTGCATGAGTGTATTGCTTCCATGTAGGTAGGTGCACCTGTGTCATGCAGTACCTGTAGAGGTCAGAAGAGGCATCAGATCTCCTGGAACTGGAGTTATGAATGGTTGTTAGCTGCCATGTGGGTACTGGGCACTGGACCCAGGTCTTCTACAAGAGCAGCCAGTGCTCTTAATTTCTGAGCCATCTCTTCAAAGATTTATTTTATTTTTTTAATTTTATGTATATGTTTTGCTGCATGTATGTAAATGCACCATGTGTATGCAGTACCCATGGAGGCCAGAAGAGGGTGTCAGATCTCTTGCAATGGTGGTCAGCCTGCATGTGGGTGCTGGGAACCGAACCTGGGTCCTCTGGCAGGGCAGTAAGTGCTTAGAACCCCTGAGCTATCTTTCTACATTCTGCTGCTTTAAGCCCCACAGGCTTTGTGATTGCTCACTCAGGCAGCTGTAGAAACCCCTGCAGTCCTGGATGGTTGTATCTGTTAAGGTTCAGATAGCCCCGCCCCCTCATCAACAGGATCCGAAGGACTTCTCATGCTCCTGAGAAAAGGGAACCTAGCTGAAAAGCACCTTGGTCTTTGAAGTCAAGAGAAGCAGACTTTTCTCCACTGTTTGGCCAACACAGCAGGCTTCCCCTTTGATCTCTAAAGATGACAGGTTTTAACAGTCCCACTCTCCTACTCCCAACCCAACTTTAAAAAAAATACATCTTCCCACCTTCTGCAGGAAGCAGAGGCCTCCTCCTTAAAAAGCTCACAACCTGGGGCAGATATTTTCCCTGCCCAGAAGGGAATCTGTCCCATATGTTCCTTTGCTAATAAACTCTGCTTTCTCCTGATCAACCATATTCATCATACGGCTACTTTTTACCTATTAGTAGCCACTGACTTTTACTGTCCACATTCATTTCCCAGGATCCACTGTGGCAACTATCTCGGTTTGGCTCCTTCTACCATGAGTCATGTGTGTGTGACAGGCAGATGATGGAGAGCTGAGTGCAACTTGGCCAACCCTGCTCTACTGCCCCAGGGTTTGCCCTGCTTAGGGCCAGGTAAGTGGACGCCAATCCCATGATTGTGATGTGAGCCAGAAGGACTTAGAATCCTAATTTTTCTTCTCTGAGGTTGGAGGCGGGTTGGTGAGTTGATTCCATGGGTCTTTAAGTGACAGGAGTCATGTAAGATTATGGAAAAACTCCACAAATTCACCACAGATGAAGAAAAATAGATAAGCCAGTAGTTTGCAAAGACCAGGGAATGGGCACTTCTCTGTTCTGTTTTAAGATTTTTTTTTTTTTTTGTCTTTTTGAGAGAGGTTCTCCCTGTAGCCCCAGCTGGAACTTGGTATAGACCAGGCTGGCCTTGAACTCACAAAGATCTGCCTGCCTCTACCTCCCAAGTGCTGGGATTAAAGGCATGAGCCACCATGCCTGGCAAGAGATATTTATTTTTATTTTAGGTATATTGTTTTGTCTTCATGTATGTATGTGCACCATGTGCATGCCAAGAGCCTGTGGAGGCCAGAAGAGGATGTCAGATCCTCTGAAATTGGAATTACAGATAGTTGTAAGCTACCATGTGGGTGCTAGAAACTGAACCTGGGTCCTCCATAAGAGTAGTAAGTGCTCTTAATCACCAAGCAATCTCTCCATCCCTACTTTTCTATCTTTTGTTTTTGTTTTTGTTTTGAGATAGAATCTTCCTGTAGCCCCAGCTGGCCTGGAACTCAATATGAAGGCTACTCCCTAGCTTTGATCTCACAGAGATCTGCCTGCCTCTGCCTCCTGAGTGCTGGAACTAAAACTGTGTGCCCAAACACCCGGCTTACTTTTCTCTTTTAAAAATAGGTTTGGGGTCTGGCAAGATGGGTTCAGTGGGTAAAGGTATTTTCTGCTAAGCCTAACAACCTGAGTTTGATCCCTGGGTACAACATTGTAGGAGGGAACTCACTCAGGCAGGTTGTCCTCTAATTCCCACACAAGTAAACACACACACACACACACACACACACACACACACACACACACACTAATAACTAACTAACTAACTAAATAAATAAAATAAAAATAATTTTTGAGACAAGATTTAGCTATGCCACCAAGGCTGGCCTTGAACTTGGAATCATCTTGCTTCACTTGTCAAGGGCTGGGATTCAGGCATGTGCTATCACACTTGTGGCAATTCTCCTTAGTAAGAGCCACATACAGCTCTGTGACCACCACAAAAGACAGCTCAGAACCCAGGGTTTGCAGCTGTCACCAATCAACAGTCTTTATAACAAGAGGAGAAAACAACTTTGACTTACCTGTGGCTCTTTCATAAAATGACATGAACTTTTGGGGGTGTGGGGGGCACAAGGTCTCATGTAGTCAGGCTGGCTCAAACTCCCTGTGCGCCGAGGATGACCTTGAACTTCTGACTGCCCCACTCCTACCTCCTGAATGCTAGGATTGCAAGGGTTCCTCCATGCCCAGTTTATGAAGTGCTGGGGATTGGACCCAGGGCTTCCTGCATATTCGGCAAGCATGCTAGCTGGTAGCTGGCCTGTAAGCTTCTGAGGTGTCTCCTCTGCCTCCTATAAATGCTAAGTATGCATCCAGCTTTTATGTGGCTTCTGGGAATTCAAATTCAGTTCCTTACACTTTCAGGGCAAGAGCCATTTCCCCAGCCCTTGATCATGTTCTAGGGTCCCTGCAAACTCTGTGAACATCACTTCTAATGGGGTTCTTTCATTCCATGAGATGAGTGTTTGTAGCTTAGGAGTTTCTCAAGTGTTTGTCAGTTTCTTTTCTGCTACAGGGATGGGGACCAGTTATCCTCCTCAGGATCCTATTGTTTTGCACCACAAAAGCACAGCCACCTTTGGGAGCCCGGCCTTTCCTCAGGTCATCTGTGCACTACAGGATGTTCCCACCCCCATCTCAAAGTACACTTTGCTAATACAGGTTCCTGCTTCTGCGAAGTTCTGTGTTGAGGGAGAAATAGTTACCCGTGTTCCATGCCCTCTGACTGCTCACTCCCTGATGTACTTTTTCTTAGCACTGTCTCTGGATCCTGGCTCTCTAATTTCCATCTGACTCTTGTAACCTGACCGGCTCCATGCAGCTTTTTTTTTCCATTCACTCAAGCCCACATTATTCTCTCCCTCCAGGGAACCATCTGCTCTTTCACTTTAGAACTACTTTACGGCCAAGCATCTTGTCTTATTCTTTCTTCTCATTTATTTTAGTTTACAAGTGCACAGAGAGCAGAAATACAGCTTACAATTTCTTTGCACCCCTGTGGGAGCAAAGCACATAAAACTGTCATCTAATAAACTCGAGTTGAAAAGCTCGAGAGTCAGCTGATTGACTGAAAGGCTGATGGAAGATTTTTCGAAGAACAATAAAACATTGAGCATCTAATCACTATCAAGTAAGAATGTAAACCATCAATTTCTAATCATCTGAATTGGATGACATAGGTAAAACCAAAACCAAACCAAACCAAACCAAACCAAAACTGCTGCTTACTCAGAATTCTCGCAAATCCAAAGTCACAAATCTTGATCATTCCTTGCTTGGTTATCAAGATGTTTTCAGGTTTTACATCTCGGTGAATACACTGTAAGATAATATTTGATTGATTTTCTGAGTCATCTAAATGACAACGAATAAGCATTAACTATTAGTTTAAATGATGGTTACATAGCCCACAATTGATAAACAAATATAATTTCCTTCATTTTTCTAGAAAACTTTAAATTGTCAATTTTCACTTATGAATCTCGTCTTGCAAAAGAGAAGCCTTATCTAAGAACATGTAAGGCAGTAACCTATTGTGTAACTGGAGCACAAGAAAAGCCTCATCTAAATGGTGCTACATTGTTGAAGATATTGAGAGTACAACTGTCATATATGAAAACTGTGCCTGGTTTCTTTGTGTGTGTGTGAAGAAGGAGCATCGTACAACTACTTTGTTCATTTTCGCAGAGCCTGTTTGAACTGCAATAGGAAATGAAGCGCTGAAACAACTTTTGATAAGAACCTCCCCTGTTCATGAATCACAATTCAGGAAGGATAGTACAAATTTGAGGAACTGAAAAAAAAAAAACAAACCCCACAACATTTAGATAACAGAAATGCACTTAGAATTACAATGACCATATTATCTACTTTAGAAATCAGGATATTTGCAAGTGGGAAAGGGGCTCTATTAATGCCAGGGGCTGGGGATGTGGCTCCATAGACGGTTTGCCTAGCATACTACAGCCCTGGGTTTAATCCTCAGTTGCATGAAATCAAACTGGGCTTGGTGTGGTGGCACATGCCTTTAATCCCAGCACTCAGGAGGCAGAAGCAGGTGTATCTCTGTGAGATCAAGGCCAGCCTGATCTACATAGTGAGTTACAGGCCAGTTGAGACCCTGTCTCAAAAGATCCAAAACAAAACAAACAACAACAACAAAAACAAGCTGGATTTTTGCCATAATTCCAGCACTCAGAGGAGGCAGAAGCATCAGGAGTTCAAGGCTATCTTCAGCTACATATTGAGCTCCAGGCTATCCTAGGCTGAGACCTTGTCTCAAAGATAGAGGCACCAGCCAGAGCTGTCCTAGGTAACCTGAAACATACGTTTGCCTACTTATCAGCGACTCCAATTTTGTCCCACAATGGGCTGACCTAGAACGTGAGGTGTTGAAGACCCTTAGGGAGGACAAGACCCCATTGAGACGGCTCTCACCATAGACAAGCATGGGGCTTCATTTTGTTTTGCTTTGTCTTGTTTTCTGAGACAAAGAATGGCCAACAGGCTGACCTGAAACTTGCAATCCTCCTGCCTCATCCTCAATCAGGGACTGCAGGTGTGTGCCAACTGGCCCAGTTAATTTTCTCCCTCCCTTCCTTCCTTCCTTCCTTCCTTCCTTCCTTCCTTCCTT